GGGGGGGAGGGAGATGACATCCACACATAGAAAACGGAACAGAAAAATCAGTCTTTGCTGACAAAAACTAACCAAGTGTCCTAAATGCCATCCAAACTTCCAAAGCCATAAAGAACATACACTGAAAAATTGGAAATCATAAAACCTCTCAATTTTTTTAACGAGGCCAGTCACTACCGTAGCTGACTGTGCTGCAGCATCTAACCACGCATACAAGTCCTGAATTCCATTCCATGATTAAGGTAAATTTGGAACCATCCGCACACCGGGCCCATGTGACTGAATGGTACACACACTTAACTGTTTTACCAAACAGATCGTAAGTTCAAGTCCTGAAGTACTCAGACGATTGCAAGTGCATGCATGATACAGGTAAATTTGAAACCATCACCACACTGAGCGGTGCACACACACATGCAACTCTTACCAAACAGATCACGAGTTCTAAAACTTCTAATCCCTGGCGGACTCAGATGAACACAATAATATCAGGGGCCACAGTGCCGCCACACCCTTCAAAATGAAAATTGAAACCATTGCCAGGGCCACTGGTATTTGTCTGTCTCACTGCCACGTTGTTCATGCCCTCACGGGCCTCACCCAATTTTGCTGCGGCACCAGGTTGAGTACTTGACCATCAAACTGTGTCCGTTACTCTACCCTCAACCAGTGGTTTGCTACATAGTTGTGAGTGGCACACTTCCGATCACTGTCATCTTATCTTATGGCCGTTTTTAGTGAGAGTAAGGTAGGGCTACTGAACTACTGCTTTAAAAACACAGAAATGGGAGGACTACTCCACTGCGAATCTGCGAATTACTCTCACCCGACAACTATTCACCCGGAGACCCTTTTCAAGGTGAGGTAAGAGGAATTAGAAATTTCAAATTAGGCTGAAGTACCAACTGGCCTAGGTCAGTCGGTACACCGCTGAACTGTTGAAACACAGACCTGAGTTCGAACTCTACCAGAGGCAGAGGAGTAAACTACAACTAGCTTAGCGCCCGCGGTGTTGGCGGTGTGGGCTACGCCCGCAGAAATAACAAACGCAGTGGGTAACCTCACACTGACCGCTCACATAAACTCAGACAGACTTAAAAAATAAAAATAAAAAAAAATCAAAGGGTAATAAACTTAAATAAAGAATATCCTCAAACTGACTCCAAAGTCGGAGCACAATTGCGTGTGTGGGTCTGCCGCCCTTTCTTTTTTTTGGGTGGGGGAGCAATCATGTGTGCGTGTGTGTGTGTGTGTGTGGCTGGGTGGGTGCGTGGGCGGGCGGGCGAGCGAGCGAGCATGTGTGGGTGGGTGGGCAGACGAGCGAGCGAGCGTGTGGATGGGTGTGGGCAGGCGAGCGTGCGTGTGTGGGTCCGCCGCCCTTTCTTTTTTTAATAAGTGAGAAAAAGTGGGGACACGAAACGAACAGCCGCAAGAAAAACAACGGCCTACCGGGGGGCACAAAACGGCAGCCGCGGAAAAAAAAAAAAAAAAAAAAAAAAAACCGATGGCCTAGCGGGGGCCACAAAACGACAGCCGCGTGAGAAATGAAAAAGGAAGGAAGGAAAAGAAAAAGAAAAAAAAAGGGGGGACACAAAACGACAGCCAACCGGGGAAAATAAAACCAAAAAAAAACAGCCCCCGTATCGGATGGCTCGCCTCCAAGATGTCCGTCCACATCAACGCCAGCCGTGTGCCCCCACCCCCGGGCCGCGCGCTCTCGTTTAATGGCGCGCTGTGAACATTTCGGTACGCGCGCCCCTCCGCACATAGGCTGAGCAGCTGAAGTAATGATTAGTAATCCACTGTGAATTACTCATGTGGGATCAGAATAATTCACTCCATTCAGTTCATTCAACTTCATTGTCATCAATGACTTAACCCACAGTGACTGAACTCATTCCTGACACATGACTGATTGTAGCTCCAGCGTGGTTCTGCGCCATTTGTCATTTCCGTCTTGCTCAGTTCTGCTTTGATTCTGGTTCACTTCTGCCTCGACTCAGATTTGTGAAATCAACCCAGCAATCATAAGAAGCTTGAACAACAGGAACATGCAAATAGTCTCTCTTTATTTCTCTTTGCTTTTGTTTTTTTTTTACATGCAAATAGTCTCAGTGCTGAGTGCACCCAATGTGGAACCAGTCACAATTGACAACAAGTCATGAATCACTCTTGAAGTTGCGAACTTGGCGACGAGCAACCCGAAGTGAGACAGAAGTAGAGAAGCAGTAGAGAGAAGGAGGATAGTTTCATTAAACAATCAATGGTCACAATTGAAACCACTCTTCAGTTCCTCCTCCTTCTTCGGGACCTTCTCTCCACAACTCGCCACCTCAGAATGCTCATCCATGCTGACTATACTGATGAAGTCTTTTTGTAGCTGTCTGAGCAGCCACCCAACCTCCAGCACCCAAGCTCAGCTGTGGAGGTTGGTGCCTGCCGCCTCCAGTCTTCAAGTGGAAACTGCTGCCTCATCAGTATCACCAGTGACAACAGGTAAGTCGAGGTAGCCTTCTCTCTCTCTCTCTCTCTCTCTCTCTCTCTCTCTCTCTCTCTCTCTCTCTCTCTCTCTCTCTCTCTCTC